AGATGGTTAAAAGGTCCAATTTAATCTAACTTCAACCACAGGAAACTTTGCTGTGGGGGGGCCAGGAACAGGACACAGGTGGCAGAGGCAATGTGTATGCAGCATCACTACAAGCCCTAACACTGCATTATCTTAGGCTGACCCTGTAGCTGGCTACAACCCTGACTTTTTTTGGAAGCAAATGCAAGACACTAGCATTCACAGCTTTTCTGTGCTCAAGCTTTGGATTTGCCAATTATTTTCTGCAAAGCACAGAAAAATGCAGTGCTCAGACTTATGCCAGTGACCAAGATATAGCAAAGAATGATAAAGCAAGGCCTGACAGAGTTGCTCCAGCCCATCCATTTAGATACTGCTCCTTTGAGAAGGAGCTCTCTTGTGCTTGTCTTACGAGAAACAGCTGTTATAGGCTTGGGAGATCCCTCAGCTGGCAGATCTGGGTATTGCTGAATGTAGTAATTTCCATCTAGTGAACCTAGTGGTGTCTTTTATCTCCAGGGTAAATGCTTTAATTGCACATAGTGCACCAGTGAATGCAGCTTCATCTCTACAAAAACTACTGTGTAGTTCCAACCAGGCCCTGAGCATTCTTTACTGGAATATGCACTGTGAGGTCATCTTGGAAATCTCCCTTATTCAGACAATTGTGAGACTAATTACATCAACTCTAACTATTCTCTTTGCCATGTGAAAAAGCCAGTGCCTAAGTGATGGTTTCCTTATGTGAATTTAAGTGGCACAGGGAAAACTCAAAGTTAAGGCAGGGCTAGTTGTGATTTCCATTTAACAGGAACAGACTGAGAGCAAGAAGAACAGATACCAAGACAAAGTCTCAAAAATCTACCTTGACTGTGAGGGAAAGATGAGGCAGACTTCAAATTTCAGAGTTATTTTTTGTGTTCTGGGAGCTGATTTTAATTTTTCCCTTGTTTATCCACAGATATAGTTCACAGGAGTCCCAGTGTCCTTTACTTTTTAAGCCATTTTTGTTCAGCTTTTTTAGATTTTTTTTTTTTCCCTTCCCAGCAAGTCTTACCTTCTCCTGTTTGGATGCAGCACACTTGCTTGAACTTCTACCCTCAGAATTACTGCCTGGAATGTTAGTGTGTGTGCTTGGTCAGACAACAGCATGCATGTACAAGCTATAAGGGTTTGGGCCTTGTTATAACCTTGTGCTTCAGCAGCTTTTAAGCATCTTAACAGATCCTTTTTATGCTGCCTAGGGTTTAACAAGAGGTTGCTCTTTCTAGAAATGCAGGGCACTATGGCTCAGTTGGAGCAGATCAAGATTCAAGACTTTATAAGCATAAGAAAGGGCCCTGGGAAAACAGTAAACAATTCTAATCTTCATGTTAGGCCACTGTCCAAAACATCACAGAATGCTTCCTCAGTATTATTTCCATTCCAACTACACTTGTTGAAAAGCAGCTTTTTAAGAACAGCATGTTTTCACTCTTGGCATATTTGCTACTACAGGTTGCTTATGAAGGAAAAGAGCACCAGCATACCACACAGGCTTTTTTGGTGCCATACTCATGCTTTATTTAAAAAATAAAAAAAAAAAAAGGGAAAAAAAAGCCACACAATGCTAAGAAAAAAAAAAATCAAGTTTACAAAGAACCTGCAGCTGTATCCAAGAGATCTGAGCTCACTTATAAATGAAAGTCAGCAGGTAAAAATTAAATGTTAATTTAATGCTTCAGTTGCAGTACATCATCTGAACTTAATCATTCAAAACAATTAGTCATTCTTAAACTGACTGCTGATTGTAGCTACACAAACAATCATCTGTATCAACTGATTAGAAAAAGTCCCTGGGAAAATTTAGAGCTAAATGGAATAATGACAGAAGAATGGTATTTCACCCACCTATAAACTGTTGCAGAAACTAAGAGACATGTCTGGCTTTGCTCTCCTCTGGAATTCCTCTGTTTATTTTAGCAATGTCTAAGTGTAAAGCTGCCAAATTCTGTTCAGTGAAGGGATTAAACTGGTACAGTATGTATATCATATGTATATCATTGCCATCAAGTCACACTACTGCTATGTCTTACTGTCTCCATGGAAGTGTATTGTGCAAGTCTCAAATAACTTCAAAACACTCTTGAAACAGCCCTTGTGTCACTCCTATGAGGTAGGTACTGTCCTTCCTTTGGAGAAGAAACGAGGACAGACTCTTTACTGCTCAGTACATCAGGCACACTGAAAAACAGGACCACCAGCCTACGCTAGTATTTGACTTCCCTGAATTCAGAGCTTTCACCTGCAGCATTTTGTTTAGCACCATGCATTCCAGGAATAATCAGTGAATGATGCTTTTGATTATAACTGTGCCAACCTAAGGAAGATGCTCAGCATAACTGTTTGACAAGAAGCAGAAGCACTGCCATTACTAGTCTGCTCCATTCATCTCCACAGCCTACAACTTCATTATGTACAAGAATAAAGATGATACTTGGATCCTTTAGTCTGACAGCAGCCACTCTTCTTTCTCAGATTAAATGATACTGGAGGGAAAAAATGAATTGCTGTCACAAAGCAGAGAGCATATAGAGGGCTACAAGTATCACATACAGTCCAAGTGTGGCTGAACTAATGCTTTGCTACCCACTGCAGACATGATCTCTAAAGCAGTTTTTCTTACCTCAAGTATAGACTCATTAAGTCTTCACAATTTTTTGGAAGTGTAAAAGAAATGTGAGAAAGGAATTAATAGTAGCCTTTCACTCTAAGGCCATAGTTTATTTGCTGTCTAAAACCATTCTGACATCTGTTACTAATAAAGAGTAAACGCTAGTCCACATCTTCTTTCACAATCCTCACTTCTCAAACCTCACAGGAGCAGTTGTGTGGCAGTGCAGTTAGCTGGCTGAAAACCAGTAAGAATGCTGGGTTATACAAATGCTTGTGCTGCCACATGGACAGGGGTGGCACACAGACAGGCAGAATTCCTACTGCCTCATCTCTAATTCAGTGAAACTATACCCTACTCAGCTGATCATAAGTAACATACCTGTGACACTAAGCTCTGTGTTTAAAAATGGAGTAGAAAATTCAAGTACCAAAATAAAAATTCCTAACCACCAGGATAAAAGCAACAACTATGTTCACCGATTTGAAGAAAAATGGCTTATTCTCTAGAAATAATGTTAAGATATGCCACAGTTCAGTTACCACTACCCACTGGAATGTTATTGCTAAATTTCAACTACAGCAAACCAGTAAAAAAAACTTTGCAACTGCTACCTCAGGATTTATCCAGAGCAGCAGCAGACTGCTGGCCACTGTGCCTATGAATTGCTTCTGGCTGAGAAAGTTACTATAGACCGCCCACAGTGAATGGCAAGTTGTATGATCAGAAAGAGTCTGGCTATAACTGGACATTCCCAATGCTGGTTCCTATGCAAGCTGCCTCTTCTCTTTTGTGCTTTACCCACTGAGTGCGGAGAGGAAAGCTGCAGCCTTCAAATACTTGTTGTTTGTATAGTGCTTCAGTCCCTTCAGCTTCTAAAGGCCTAACTTGCTACAAAACTCCATCAGTAAAGGCTAAACTATTTCTCTCAACAAATAAACCCAGGATATTACAAACTAGTATCTTCTGATCCTTTGTCTTTTTTTGTGGCATACCACTATCTATAACAGCTCTCATCACCATCCCCTCAAAGAGTACCTTTTGATTTTGGGCAGAACTGGAGTATACAGTTCAAGATTACTTATCACCAGAAGGTAAAAAAAACAAAACCCTCTTGATTTCAGGTTAGAGACATAATCCAAGAGGGAGCTTAGAAGTTCAGTGCATCAGGTGCTGCAATAGCTACAGGGCTTTAGTACACAAAGCACTTAATACATAAACACTTTGTTGAATCAATGCAAGCTTGAGTATAAGCCCATAAACCTACTACAGAACCAGTCAGACTACATCACTAAAGGCAACCAAACTTGTTCCATGCAATGGAACATGACTGGAGATACCCCTTATGAAGGCAGCACTCAACTGTTTGCTAAGTGATATCTATATGACAATTAAGCAATCTTAACTGCAAAAAATATTCTGACTGGACTAGCTGTATTTTCAGGAAGTTGAACAAAGCATCTCTTCTACAGCAAGTCAAGAACATCTTCACAGTTCATTCTGGCAAAGGGTATTATAAAATAGTGCCATCACAGGTATTTTCACAGCTTAGATGCTTCATACACACTGTGACAGGCTTTGCAAGTATTGCTCAGTATCCACTGGCTCAGAATCTCAGTCCCTGCAGAGCAAGTGTAGATCTAAAACAGCATTTTCACAGGTGAGCATCAGGAAGGGGAGAAAAAGAACAGATCTCAAATCAGTGTCTCTTCCTGAACTCAAAAAGCTTCCAGATAACCTTCAGGCACAGGAAAAGGAGCAGCTGAATTGCAAACAATTCAAGCCTTGTCCAAGTGCCTGAATGGCAGCAAAGTGACACTCTGCACATCTGCCCTTTTCCCTGTCAGTTAAATTCCAGAATGCAATGGATGTGGATCGATACCTCAGTACCTGGTAATCACATGAAGCAAGAAAGGAAATCCCATTTTGACTGCAAATAGCTTTTCTGTTTGAGCACTGAGCTGACATGTAGTTAGTGATGAATATGCAGCTGTTACTAGTAAGAAAGAAAGTAAAAAAAAAACCCAGCCCAATGTACTGACCAATGAAAACATGTTTGAGATTTAAAAACTGGAAAGGGTGAATTAAGCAGTAAAAAAAAAAAAAATAAATATTTGAAGCCAACCGTCTTTCCAATTCAGTTTCAAGCATGTACAGCAAATCCTTGTAAAGCTTTAAACAAAAAAATAAATCAACATTCTGGTAGATGTTTTTTAGATTCTAGTTTTTAGAAGAGAGAACCAAAAACTTACTGAAAAGTTGTTCTGGCTTCATCAATAATTTCTTGAGTAAACATTGCAGAACTACCACTATAATCTGAATACCTAAGCTGCTGGCACAAATCAATAACTAACCATTTAACAAGTTGGGTATAAAAAAATTTATGTAGTAATACCAATTCAGCACACAAATTCCATGCTTCACAAATTCTGCTGCTGTGTAAGAGTCCTCCTAACATTTATGCAGGTCAAGTTCAGATTTTTAGGTCACTGCATGCCCAGATCAAAACAGCAGCAAAATATCTACCACTACAAGCAGCTATACCCAATTGTGCCTTTAGAATGCAAACTATGCAGAAGTCTATGTAGATGATCAGTGCCACTGACACTGAACCAGGACCACACACACAACCCTTGGTGTGTGCAGGCTGGAAAGAATAACATTACTTAATGAAGAAGAGAAATGCAATACAGATTCTGATACAAATATGGTACAATCAAGACAGATTAAGTCACTAGACATTCAGATTAGGGAAAGGAGAAAAATCCTTCAGAGACAACATACAAGTGACAAGCCAGCATTACAGAGAACTCTAAAGGCACATTTCAGGTAACATGTTTCTGTTAAGACCAACTGCTTACACACGCAGGCACAAATCTTAATGGCTACCTCCCCCCACCCCCAACAATTGAAAAAAAAAAAAGAGAAGTGCATTTTCAGTAATATTAACACCATTCAGTTAATCTGTTCAGTCCAAATGCTTAGCAGTATTTTCCTTATGGTGATATGGATTCTCTGCACTACTCCAATCCAAAAAACCCAAACAGGCAGGATTAGTAAAGGTTCAAATGTTGTACTAGTTAACATTACTCATCAGAGCCCACTGGTCTCTTCTGTGCCCTCTTGTAGGGCAACCTCCTTGGTGAAGCTTTATCTAGATAAAAAAAAAAAAAAGGAAAAGATAGTTGCATCAATTGCAATTGCTACACAACCAGGTATTTTTCTCCTCCCAAACACAAGTCAAACTGCCCTTCTAGTGCAATACACAATACACCACCACACAGAAGCCAAGTGAAACAACTTAAGGCTTTTTATCTATTAGCATCCTAAATAGAAGGTAACAAAAAATGTTTCTATTCTGTAACATGCAACTCCAGGGTGAGGTTTGTTCAAGTGCCAGTTACTAAAATGCAAAAAACCAAAAAACAAAAAACAAACCAAAACCCCCACAACAAACAAAAAATCAAACTCAGAAACCTACACCATCTCCTGGTGAAACTGCATGCTCTGCTGTTTAGAAAAACTACAGTTAGAAATTTAGTAAGTATTTTGATCATTACTGATTCTGTGCTGTGAGGGTGGTGAGGCACTGGCACAGGCTGCCCAGAGAAGCTGTGGATGCCCCATCCCTGGAAGTGTTCAAGGTCAGGTTGGATGGGGCTTTCAGCAACTTGGTCTGGTGGAAGGTGTCCCTACCTGTGCCAGAGGGGTTGGAACTAGGTGATCTATAAGGTCCCTTCCAACCCGAACCATTCTACGGTTCTATGAATATTGTAAAGAAGCTTCAATACTTTGCATGCAGTGCTAGTGACTCCTAAAGGCTTCTGCTGACTTCAAAATGCATTTTCTTAAGCAGAATCATCTCCAATAGTTTCACTGGTTACAGCATGTGCAAACCCAAGGAGCAGCAATCATCAGTACAGTATAAAGTGTCTTTCAACAATATCAATTCAGGAATCTCTGAAGGCCATGTATTTTAAAGAATTCTAGTGTAGGGTTCCAATTGAAACTAACCTGGACCTGAGAAAACCACAAAGAAGAACAACTCAAACATAAGTTTTTCTTAAACTTCAAGTATTAAGACACGAATTCCTGTTTAGCTTAAGAAAGGGATGGGGACAGGGCCCAAACATTACCAGGATCTGAACTCATGTAAAGACAGTTGGCTCATCAGAAAAAAAAGCATTTAGAGCTTCACTTTTTCTTGATGAATTGAGGCTTTGCAAATTCCTGTTGTCTGGATTTTATACTCTCATTCTTGTGTCTCACAGAAGACAGTGTACCAGAAAGTTTTCATCTTCACAAGTGAAGCACTTGTCTTTATACCTATGTCATGCAAGTACAGCTAAAAAGGGCAAAGGAATTAAAATAGTGAAGTCAACACCTCCTGGTACAACTTCATATCAGAGCTAAGGCCTCTAATCTCTTTCACACTGAATAAAGCTCAGAATATGCTTATTTCATCAAAACAGCAGTAACTTCCAAGTTAAGGTAGTTCCTGCAAAAGGTTTTCAAAGCACTTCTCTTTGCATCTGGTCTAGCATGCACTTTGTTCAAGCTCTCTCACCTCACACCAGTCAATGCTACTGGTGATAGGAGTTTACCTGGGATAAGGAAAGCCCAGGAAAATAAACCTGATTATTAAACTATTATACCCCAGGCTGAGGTTTGCTTCTTACTGAAACAAGATGCACTCAGCCATTGGTCATGATCAGTCCTCCACTACCCTCATGTAGCACCAGGTTGACTCTATACCAAGGTAGTGGGGAAGGCAAGATACAAATCTGCCTTTAAGATAAACAGTTCTGGGAACGGTGTTGTACTGAAAATGTTACTACGATATAACCAGAAATATACACACAAAATACATGAAAATATAAGCTTAGAAGTATATAAAATGTGTTTGTGCTGTTGCATGCATCTGTTCTGTCATCTTTTACTGCTCATGCTACATCATCAGTCACTGCATGCAGGAAGCTGTACTTCTATCCATGCCTAATTATCACATGGACAACACATTAACCACTTTCACACTTCAGCTCACAAGACTTTGCCTCACCTCTTCTACTCTGCACTGAAGCCATGGAAAAGAAAAAAAAAAAGAGTAAGAGAAGTTAGAGATATCCATAATCTAAAGAAATCAGATATTGAGTTTACTGCTGGCATTTCAGGTATCAAGTAGAACTTAGTAATTTTGGATTTGTGAAGGACATTAATACCAAGTCTTAATGTGGCTTTAGTCAATACACACTTCTAATGCTAAACTTTCAAATAACTTACAGAAGCTTTGAGATAATACCTATTCTCTCCTATTTAAGCCTCCTTTGTGATCCATGTTTTGAGTGCAGATTTTATACTGTTGAAGAACAGTCTACAGAATAAATTGTAAAAGTCACTGATAGTCATTATTGTATCAACCACTGAAGTTTGTTCTATAAAGAACAGGCTGCTAAAGTAACAGTCTCATCATTAAGCACAGGTTCTGGACAATTGTTTTATTCCCTAGAAGAGATGTATGCTGTTCTGAAAAATTGGTGCCAGCTACTTGTTTGGTTACAATCAATCGATCAAGTAAGTTTGTTACTCTCTTGTTGGTGGAAGGCAGACTACTTACTTATTTGATTTAAAGTTTCTTGGGGAATCCAGCTCATATCAACATCATTCTGATTTGATGTTCCCATCTCTACTTTCTGTACTGGTCTTTTCCTCTGAAAAGGCAAGAAAGAAAAAAGATTTTTCTCTTAAACAAGGTGTGGATAGCACAAGTATTAGAAATCACTAAAAATTCTACATTTAATGAATTACAATTATTTCACTAAGGCACAAACTTAAGGCTAGTCAACACTTTCTTTGCTGTTTTTCCCCATTAACAACTTATACTCCTAAGCTTTGCATTACCACTTCTAATGCCTCACGATACTTATTCCACAAAGACATCAAGATTTCATGTATGCCTGGGCAAGCTCATTACACCTGTTGCAAAAAGTGGCTGCTGAGCAACCAGTCTTTGTGATGACCAGTTTCACTGTGCTTTCTCAGACTAGCACAAAAATCTGTCACCTTGCAAAACTGATTTCAAAGCACAATAAGCTTTCAATACTTCTTTCTAACTGATGCTACTTCAAAAGTATGATGAGCCAGACAGCACAAAGACAATCTATGCACTGAGACTTCAGCTTTCAACAATTTTTATTTGCCAGACCAGACACACAGACTAACCCTCAGCTATTACACCATTACAAACGGAATCCAGAAGGCCCTAATCAACATTAGAGCAAAGCTTTGACAAGAACTAAATAAAGGAATAGACAGCTCTTTTCCCCAAAGTCTGATCTGGATTAAACTGATAGACAGAAACACAGAGCAGGGGGGGAATCTACCCAGTAAGTACTGGATCAGTAGATACACATCCAGTGACAGGAAGGTATCAAAGCTTCCAATTCAACCACTTCAGTGTGGTGCCAAGGACCAGACACAAAGAACACAAACTAAGCAGTCTAAGTGTCTCCAATCATGAATATTTTTTCAAAACTCTCTGGTTTCCCCAATAACTTCTAAGGTTCTAAGAATAAACCTTCTAAAGTTCTACCTGTACTGACAGCTGCCAGATGCAATTACTGAACTGCTTTCTTTTCACATCAGGAAGTTCTTGTATAAACCACATACTTACACAGACAAACACACTACCCACCTTCCTAGATTCTAGTAACTGATGTAGGCCAACAATGACAAGTAGACCAAGTCCAGCAAGGAACATATACATGAAGATCCTTAAAAAAAGGCAAAACAAAACAGTTTAAGAAACTATTAACTAAAAATCTTAAGTGTTTAAGAGTTTATGAAAAGGTATAGAAACTAAGCCTAGCTTTAGACACATGCCCACTTGATCTTTCCTCAGAACTTCTGTAGGGGGTGAGAGGGGAAAAAAACCCCAGTGAATCTGAAACTGAAGTGCTAACGAATAACATATAATTATTCTGACTTTGATTTCAGAAAGTGTAATAATAAGTTAAATTCTGAACAACAGAACATTTGAAAAATGCTGTATAAAGTTAGAAAACTGTTATAAATAAATACTGAAATTTAGGAACTGCAAGAACTTTCTTGCACTATCATGAAGTTTCCAGGTATTGGGTCACAGGCAATATCTATGTTTGTGACAGCTTCAACCACTTACAAAACCCTGTGCTTTTAGTATGGCTACTGCAAAGCAAGTACTGCTAGGACACTAGTTTATTTGCAGCAGAGCTTTGAAAGACCTTGCTTCTACATAGTTAGAATTCTACCTATACAATCAATAACTTCTTTAAGCCATACATTTTGGTTTGTTTTGAAGAACTTTACCTGAAATACCTATTGATACTTAGCAAGAGGAGAACACAAGTTACATCTAAAATTAATTCAGGGAGTAGGCAGGAGTTTACAGGTAAAGAACCTATTCCAAGCTGAACATCTAAATTCGGATTCATGACAAAGGAGATTATGGAGTTAAACTAAATAAGAGACTTAATTGAACACTCCTGTTTTAGGGTAATTATCTATTCAGAGGACATTCACTCAAACTCAGCAGGCAATTTCTACCCATGGCAGGACAATTCTGCATTGTCTACAAGTATTTCTGAAGATTAATTTTTTTTAATTCACAGGTTCACTTAAAATTCCACTCCAGTGGTACAATATTTAAAAGCAGATCAGCACAGTATATGGTTGCAATGTATAAGGTGTGCCAGATAGACTTTGAAAAAATCACTCCTGAGAGACACCTGCTACAGACAGGGGTTAGTGCAACAAAAAATTGTGAGTTCCTCTATCTCGTACTCCAAAACCATCTTTTAGTTTATCTAATCTTGGATCATACTGGAGCACTTCAGAAGAAAGTTGTTCCAGTCCTGACAGCAGGACCCACAGCCCAATACTACAGACTCTCTACATCTTTTAACTCTTAGGAAAAAGCACAGTAGCATAACAAAAGCTTAACAGCTTTGAATTGCTATGTAGCTGTGTAACCTCAGGTCCTATACCAGGCTTAAGCTCTCTGAGCTAAAGCACATCAGCTAAAGCACATCTGTGCATAGTACATTGGTACTATACACATAGTACCAATCCTGAAGATGCCCAATATTAATACAGACATTAATTTTGGGAAAAAGTTCGTATTTTCAGGCTGTCAACATTGTATAAGTCAAATGCCTGCTACGCAATCAACAACACTCAGCAGACCTAACACCCAGTGAAATGAGGATACAAGAACCATTCTCACTGGTTCCATCAATAACGTGTTCTACTACTATACCAACTAAGCCTGGATCCCCAGAGTCCTTACGTTTCTCCATCCAGCCCATCTTCTTTTTCAATAATTGTCACAGTTTGATTGAAGACAGCATCTTGAAACACATTGCCCTGTAACAAAAAGTCTGCACTTAACATTTAAAATTGATTTCTTAAACAATACACAAATGCCTTTTTCCATGTTCTCGGAAAAATTCTAGAAAGCAGTAACTCCTGCACGAGACTTTAAGTTTGTAAGTAGTTCTAGACTGATTCAACACATAAAAGCACCGATGCTATTGCTGCAAGTACAAAGAACAGCCTTGGTATTAGCAAGACAGTCACATCTAGCCTTCAATATGTCATTTCCTATAACAAGAGATATTACATATGAAGGGTTCTTATTAGGACTACCAACACACAAAGGTACTCCTTATCTTCTACCCAAGCTAAAACAGATAAGAATCTCCTATTTTAATTCCCATTTATGGTTTTAGATAGTCTTTCCCCAGATTGTAACTACTGGACATTTGCCTAAAGAGAAGTTTGCAGATGGCATTCAGGCTGATAATCTGAAAAACACCATGAAATTCAAGTTATCCTAAAGAAAGCTTTAGTTTTGCTTGGCTGGTTGGGAGTTTGAGAACACAGCCCACTATTACACAGTTCTAAGGCATTCTAGCTTCCACCACTGACATAAAACTAAGTGCAACATACAAGAACTGAGTGTGCATAGGGGTCTAATGTGAAACACGCAGGCAGGAACTTACTGTGCTTAGGTATCTACTGCTCTGCTTAAATACTACAAAGACATTCACTTTCTAGACAGTTACTTGACTAAAACTCCTTCCTGGTGCTTCCACATCAACTAGAAAGATTCAAGTGAATTACAATATCAAGCTTACATTTGCATCTCTGTAGTTGAGATTGATAACTAAACCAAAAGGACGACCACCCATGGGCTCAGCTGGGATGAAAGAGTACTCAAACGTGGCTTGTCTCTGTGGTGGAACTACTGTGTTCAGAGAGAGAGCTGTGAAGTTCTGGATATAGAACTGGTAGTCTTGAGGATACCGGAATGAAGCATCGAGAGACTCCACAATGAAATCATCTGTGCCCTTATTGGTGAAGCCTACCAGAAATTTCACAATGTTGTTCGCCGGAAAGTCTAAAACACAACAAAAAACATTCAGCCATTACAAACTTCATACACCACACCTAGCCAGTTTCTAAACAGAGAGCATCTAGAACACATTCTGTGGGTTTAGAGCTTCACTGTTTTATCTGCACATTGATATATATATATAGTCTAAGCAAGAGTAAAGAGGATGGTAGATTAGCAGAGGACTCTTACCTTCACCTTTCACAAATAAGATGGTTGTATCAGCACTAGGCGAGGCTTTAGGTTCTCCTGACAAGTCTTCTTCCTCTTTTTCTTCTGTCTAAGACAAGAGACTTTTTTGAAAAATCCTATGATGAACAGTGAGTCAAAGACCACACTTGGTTCATGAGAACCCCATGTGCCAAAAGCATGCAACAACAGCAAGTATTGGTACCAAATCCCACTCTTCCAGGATTAGCACAGTCTGTTCTCCCTCCCTTCACTTTCAGCATTTATGTTTCTACTTGTATTTGACACAGTGACTAATCTGAACTGCATTTAGCTCTATTGAAACATTTATAATCAGAAGGCATCAGTAACGTCTGGGGGTGGAAGAAAAAGAATAGACTCAAAATGTTAAGTGTTCACATCTAAGCTATTTGCAATTCGAAAACAAGCATTTCCAAAACACAGGCACCCACATAAGGCAAATGAGAGTTACTTTCACTACAGAGGGAGTATTTACAGCAGCTTTCTATTCAGTTTAAATTAGTTAAGTGTATCTATACCTGGGAATGGTTAGACTGTTAGAACTAAGTTCATGGACTCACTTGTTGAAGCTCACCTTTGTGACAATTCACTTTGTAATTTGGCAAACGCAATCATTAGGGGCTTATTTTCCACTTGGGGATCACCAAACAAAACAAGGCTGACTCAATTTTGAACAGCCTCAGTTAATTGCTTGCAAGTCAGTTAGATCATTTGATCTCGGTGCTTAAACAACCCCCTGAAGCAGTGGATATCCCACTGGATCAGTCATACACATAGCATGAACCAGGGAACCAGAGACGAGCATACAGCATCTTGATTTCAAGATGCTATGCAAAACTCTATCTTCTATTTCAGTCACAAATAAAAGAAACTGCCTAAAAAGCATAATGGTTTGTACCCGAGTCATAGACTATTTATTGAAAGCAAATTATATCCCGATTTAATAATATTCTGTCAGTACTGGCATAACATACCTTTCTATCACATAGCAAAGCTGGTCAACCATAAACTCACCAACTTAGCAACAACAGTAAAATCCCACAGAATCAAAGAACAGTTTATCAGTTCTGCCTTTTCATTATGTATGTCTTCTCCTCCTAATAATGTCCCAAGCTTCCTTCATTTAAATCAGCAATTTGAGAAGACTTTGTACACATCAATGTAGACTAAGTGTCTAGCAATCCTCAAAGTACTCAACTGCTATAAGCAGATCACAGAGCTATGTAAAAAAATTTCACTTTTTTGTTTGCAATTTTTGGCATGTGTGTTATAAATTTAGTTAGCTAAATTCTTTTACTGTACTCTTGCCTGATTAGTTTTGCTTAGCAGGAGTAGCTAAGGTTGCTGAAGCTGCGAACTTACACCTTGAAAAGCTGAACTAATCTTGAACTGTTGCTTAGCTATGTGCAGGGAGGCTCTGAGACCAGTGCAAACTGAAAGACTGGGAAGCCACAACTGTCAGCAGAAGATACAACTCATCCAGATAAATACAGCTACAGAGAAAGAATTCAGTAAGGAACAAGAAGTCCCTCGAACAAAAATCACCATTGAACCAAGAGGCACGTGCAAGGCACATGAAGAGCACGTGAAGAACAGGTACATAGGGTGTAAGGGTATAGAAGCTCAAGGATTTTATTCTGGGTCCCTTTTTCAGAGACCTATGCTGAGGGAAACCTATGACAAAGAAAATTTTTTAACATTTGTCAAGCTGAAGCTAATGACCCTGAACATCAAGACAGCTGTGGCACACACTGCAACAAGTGTCAGAGGCCAGGAATGAAGCCAGTGAAAACGGGCTACAAAACAAGGTTTTCAGAATGAATACTGAGCTTAACTAAGATCCTGCTGCCCCCTAAAAACAAATGCCAAAGAAGCCAGAGTGAAGTAGTCCTATACCCCAATGCTCTTCTCAGTTTACTGAGGTGCAGCTTAAGCTGGACAAGAACTACAGGGATCTTCTATGAGATTCTGGTGTTGTTTTGGGTGAGCTGCAGCTTTGGTAGTCAGAAATCAGGTTGTCCCCTGTGGTTTTTCAAGTGGTAATTCAGGTAGGAAAGATAAATCCTTATGCAACTCCAAACTGAACACAAGTTTAATTGGAGACATGGGAAACAGCTGTTTGGAAATAGCAATGCTAGTAAACTCGTATTTAAATTGTCTAGCTTCTAGCACTTTTGGTGCAATTCATACTTTTGAAGTAGCATTCATGTATAATTACCAAGTCTGTTGGTTCATCTTCTTCAACTTCAGCTTCATCATCTTCATCTTCAACTACAGTATCTTCCACAGCTTCCTCATCTTCTGTAGCATCTTGAGCTGCAACTAATAAACCTGAACCTACCAAGACAAAACGCACGTACAAAAAAGCCTTTTTAATGTCTAGTTAATCAACAGAAAACTGACACTGAAGTACAATTCTCAAACTAAGGTTTGAAGAATTTCTTTAAAATCTGTCCAATACAGTGCTTTGAAGCCTCACTTGCAAAAACCTCACATTCAGATCAATGTCTGCATTGATCTTTCAGCCTTCTTTCTTCTCTAGTAACTTTCTCACCTACACATTTATCTGCCACTAAATTCAAACTGAAAACACTTACAGCTAGATGGTATAAAAGTTCAGCACTCACAAAGCAATGCCTGAATTTGCAGAAGGCAACCAACTTGCCTTAAAAGCTCGTTTCATTTTTTGAACATATTACCATATGAAAACATTTTCATTTTGTCATTGCAAAAGTGCAACTAAGATTCCTATTGCCAGGAAATTTATTTAGTGAGCTCTGTTTCTTCTAAGGCTACTAAGTCTAATGAATGCTTAGCACGCTGGTATCAGAGCAATACACTTCGAAATGTACCTAGAGAGTTACTATTTTTGCACCTATTTTCACTCAAATTTAAAAACATTTTAAAAGTCTTTTTTAGTACGACCTCACCATTATCATGTACCAATACACCTATGTATTCAACAGAACATCAGCCAGAAGAGAGACCTGACCTAAAGCACAGCCTCAGGGCAAGGCAATCTCTGACTGCCTCTCTGCTTTTGTGGAGCTCTCTGACACATTCAAACACTGGGCAAATACGATTAATAAATTCCTGGCCATGGGACAAAACTCTGTCTGTTTGCAGTTTAGAGCACATGCAGGCAAGGCTGAGAACTTTTTAAACCTATGCATAAACCCACAGCTTTGGACCTTTTGTTGTTTGGGGTTTTTTTTATTAATAAACCTAACGCTTCCAAATATTACAGAGTAGAAACGAATGGATGAGCGAGTCACATAAGTCTGGTGGGGAAAAAAGATCTAATCGCTATAAATCTGCATTTTAAATAAATATTTGAAAACTTTCGCAGAAATAAGAATCCTTGAGGGGGAAGGTATATCCAAGGACATGAGAATTGTCAGTCAAGAGCGAGAAAAAGCAAACACAACCTCTCCTCTCACGTGTCTTTAGAAGGTACTCTCAGAATTCTGCTCGACCACGTGCAATACTTAACATAAGCCTTAACCCCTATGACTTCATTTGCTGAAGCTTTAAACTTGCAAGTGTACAAGTAATGATTTTTAAAAAAAATTAAAGCTTTGTATTCGAACAGCGTAAGTTATAGGCAGCCTTTGACAAGCAGCTGCTCCGCTCGGTCTCCCAGACCCCTCGCAGCCTTCCCCGCGGGTGTCAGAGCGGCTGGTGATGTGGCAACAGC